TTTAATAAAAAAATAGTAAAATAAATTTGGATCTATAATATATTGATCGGTCCAGAATTAATGAATTGGATTTCTTTTCTTAAAGGCTGGTTTGTGTTTATCATGCTTTCTAATTACACACATTACCTGTGATCGTCATGATGTAAATAGGTGGCAGAATTAAAATAACTTTTACTAAAAAACTGAATTTGTTTCTATGTTTAATTAAGAATATGTACAAATTATATTACAAGAACAAAATACGTGATTCAATGAATTTAATAATTAACTGTTTTTTTTTTGTTTTTTTTTTTTGATTTATTGATAAATATTACAATCTGTCTCAATAAAGGACAGTAATAATTAACTGTAAAGGCATGAATATTCTAACATTGATAAATTTATTGTTGGGAATAACACTTATCTATTGTATATGAAGTGGTGGCAAGGTAAAGTCTCCTTGGTAGATGTTATCGCCGAGGGAAGGGGTTTGGACTCTGTAGTTCACACCCACTAACTATAATGTAAATAATAAATTAATGCAGGGCGGTCCCTCCACGCCCAGTGGTATAATAAAAGGCCTCTGGCCACAGATGCGAAGTACGCATACAGCGTGCATAGCCCTCTTACCTTAAAATGTCATTGGGCAATAAAAGGAAATAAAAAAAAATTATGTATATATACATTTATATATTGTACTTTGTAATAAAGAAATTCCTGGGGAGTAGGAAAAAAAAAAGAAGTGATGTGGTTGGTAGATTTCATTGCTGTCTCCGCTGATCTGAGGTCATCTTTTCAAGACCAGGTTCAAAAACTTATCCAAGATGCCCATCTGTGTGGTCTATGTCGGGCCAAGGCTTCAGTCCCCATGCCAGAAGAAAACATAAGACCTATCCTTCTGGCCAGAAATCGACATAAGACCTCTCCTCAGGGCCGGATCTCCACATAAGATCCTTTTCTTCCTTCTCGGTAGATTTTATACAACCTTTTCAGGGTGGGGCAAGGATGGTTTCCATTGGTTCTTGACTTCACCCTATTACTTCACAATAACTGGTAACCCCAGAAACCAGTTACTTAGCCCGTTACTAGTTTTTACTTGAAGCCTTCCGCAGCGTCCAGGTACATTTCGGTGTACCTGCTCCTATACCTTGACGCTGGTTTTGATGTCAGAAGTCGGCTTCGTTCACCTTTGCTATCTACACCACATAACAATTTCAAAACCCCACTATAGCATATCTTTTAGCAAAACCTCAATATTCATAAATAAAATTTATGCAATGTCGTCGGATTATTGCAAAAGGTCATTAAATAATATTTTAATCGTCGGATTATTGCAAAAGTTCATTAAGTAATATTTTAATGAATTTGAGATAATCGAATTCAGTGCCGGCCTTAGACAGTCGACGCACCCGAGAAATGATCTCACCTCCCTTCCAAAATAAAAAAATTAATTTATTTCTTAAGCTGTCTTATATTATGTAATATTTGAATTGTATTTAATTCAAAATTTCTATAATTCAGTTACATTATTGAAAGGCCAAAATAAATTATTTTAATACGTTTTATATTCTTTTAAATTTCTTACAAGTGGCGTGTGCTCCTGATGTTGAATTAAAATATTTAACATATACATAAAAATGAAAAAAAAAAAAAACTGAAACCACGACGCAAATAGTGACTTTTACACTCTGTCATAGTTGAACGCAATACTCAGTTACCTTTTTAACATTGCAAGTAAATAGAATATGAATTAGGCTCACCTCACTTACAAGGAGAGAATACAGTCTGTGGGTCGTCGATTTCAACCATATTTGTTTTGGTGATACTTCATCGAAAAATATTGAGCTCGTGTGACGGCATTATTTCTGCCATGAACTGGAGCATTCATAACTCCTCAGGACTTTTTTTCAAATTTAACTTTTGTATAACCGTTTGGAAACTGAATTAATGCTCTTCTAAATGACACAAATAACTTTTGGGTTTCCTTTTTTTCAAGTTTGCAATTTTTTTTGTTTATTAAATAATATAAGATTCTGTCACTTGGACATCGATTGTAAGGAGGTAAAATAACTTTCAAATTAGGAAAAACTTCTAACTCGTTTTTATTTTATATCTTTAGTTTTAATTTGTTTACGAAGATAAGGTTTATACCATTCCATGTAGCACACAGAGGTCTAAATCTTTATTAATTTCTGCGTGAATCAGTGAAGTCGTTTTAAAGTTATCACAAGTTTTGTGGTTGTTGATGACAAGAGACCAGGTCTTGGCCAAAATTTCGAAAAGAAAATGTTAATTTTCCGTTTACAATACAAATTTATATTTAAAAGTTTTTTTGAGGTGTGAAAAACGAATATCAAGTTGTTTGTCCCTAAAAAAATCATCCAAGAAAATCAAGTAATTAAGGTTGTATTTAAACAAATTTAAATATTGTGTTTTAAATGGCTCTAAAAAGGAATCTAATTATTTTTTTTATAACAAACAAATATTTGACGTACTTTACCAGAAGCATCTTTGGTTTTTTGCAATTTATAATACTTTGTAACTCATTTAATACAATAGTTAATATTTTTTTAATTATTATTAAAAACAAAAACTATCGATATATAAAAATCCACCTAAAAATTCTGATATAGTAAACACATAAATAAATATCATAAATTTCGTTTGAAATTATATAATATTTGTTCTTGGCTCCTAGTAGCTCATTGGAATGAACGGCGGGACAGGTGTTTAGTATTTTTCTATAACCAACAAAAAATTGTTTGAAATCCTTGATCCACAGACTGTATCCTCTCGTTGTTAATTAGTTTTATTAACTATCTGATCAATTAATCCAGTGAAAAAAAGTCATTAAGTACCAGATAGTGGATTTTGGGCGTTCTATTTTAGTTTTATTCAGAGGACAAAGATATCATTAAGTAACTTGATGACTTTTGCTCTGCAAAGTCAGAACATCGTGCACTTAGTGAAACTATTTTTTACATATAAAAAGATTTGTATTATTTTTATGTAATATGTAACTATTTTTATGTATTATTTTTAAAGTAGTTTCAAAAAACAGTGTTAATGTATTAAATGGAGGATGTAATAACAGCAATGAAAATGGATGTGAACGGATGGTTAAAATCCGAGCACCGAAACACAGGTGAGAGGCTACTTTTATCCGTAACTTCATCGCTTTGTGTTATGTCAAGAGAACTTTAAATATAGGGTGTACCGATACGAAAACTTCGGATTTTGTGAGATTTCACGAATCATTAACCATACCTATGGGAATAAAATACTGAGTGCCTTTCCAGGATGAGATCAAGCAAACCGCAGTTTACTTTCAAAAACTTCCCTAGTATATATCTTTGAAGAGGGGGTTTTCAAGTTTCCCAGACTAGAACTTGGAGAATCGAAGCTGTAAACATTCGAAAACTGTTTTCAACTAGTTCTTGTTTGTGAGAGAGGTCAGTTTTAGAATTTTATCACCAGTGTCCCTTAAGTAACACTATGATCTAGTGCTCTAGGAAGCAGTAAACAGAGACATTTTTCGTAGAAACTAGGTCAGTTAAAAAAAAATATTATGACATTCATGTTTACATCAAGTATAATTTAAATCAATAAATATACAGTGAAGAAAGTTATACAATGAAATAAGTTTATAATCATCATGAAATAAATTTGATGAATTGAATTTTGATTGAAGTGAACGGTTGTTGAATTTTTTTATGTTTTAATTTTAATAAACAATTCATACTGTTCATAATATTTCGTTTTTTATTTTTATAATTTTTTTTAAATTTAATTATATTTTATTATTTTACAAATGTTTATACTTTATGTTGTTTATATGCAGACACTGAAGGTATCGTATGTATTGTTTAATTTTTATTAATATAGGTTATGGCCAGATTTGGTTTTTGTTTTTTGTTCATAATTGATATCATTAAAGGATCCTGTACCAGAATAAAGTTTATTTTCTATCTATAATCAATTTTATCAAAAGTAATCATTGCTAAATGCATATGAGAATGTGACGAGTTTTTAAACAAAGCGATGAGCTTATCGATAGCATCTGAAAATCACTCTGACCGTTCATAAACTCATAGATGGAAACCATCGCAAGAATTCAGTGATTTCATCAGCTTTTGGGGTAGACGAGTTCATTGGATGTAGCCTTAGTATTATTATTCTTTAATTCACTTTACATATCGATATTCACTTTATTTTAATGGAATTGATTGTTTACCTTTCCTAAACTCTGCATAAATCGCTATCCATCGTTAAAATTATTGTTTATTGTTAACATTTTGAATTTCAGTGTACTGTTATAATTTATTTTCTGAAAATAAATCGCTCAACAGATTAAATATAAATCCGGTGGATTATTTCATCGCAAAAAAAGAAAGAAATACGAGTGTTGTTTTTTAAACGCGTCATTACCTTTATTGGAAAAAAAAAATATATATATATATATAGAAAGCTATATTTATCAGAAAAGGTTTATAATGTATTTTCAAAGAATTTAGCATCGAAAAATAGAATAGAAGAACAATCGTTTAATGCTTTAGAACGATTAATACATATTCAGGATTTATTTAATGTAGGTTGGATCAACAAACAAATTTAATCTTGACGAAGCTTAATGGAAAGCCTGCTAAACAGGTTTTCGATAAATATTCATAAAGGAAAATCGGCAGTTGATGGCAGGTGTTCTCACCAGGAGCTTGTGCTTATACTCTGTCATTGCCAACTAATTAGCGGCTGCTCCATTTTGAAACTAGGTGATTATAATTTTACTCCTTTAAATAATCATTATTTGTTCATCTAAAAGAATTTCATATTTAAATAATAACGAAAAATTCTTAAATTTATAATTACAATACGACTTTTACAGTCATTCCCAGTATGTTGAATCAATTAACATTTTTTATATTCTATGATGATAAAATTTTGTATCTATTCTCTTTTCTCCCTAGCTCCGGATTTTAATACAAGATTTTAATGATAAAAAACGAAACTACCATATTATTTAATCATAATAAAATAAATAATACACTACCTGGTAAGGGAATGTCGACACTTCCCCTGGGGCTCCTGTTGTCCTGAAGGCTGCCTGATCCGATGCTGCCCCTTGGGCTCCTCATGGAGGGACTCTCCTGGAGGGGCAGGCTGTTCCTCGGGCTTCGGTTGAAGGTCGTATCTGATGCGATGCTTCCTCGGGGACTCTTGTTCGGCTCTGGGACGAGGCTTCCTCTTGGACTCCTGTTGGTCTCAGGCACTATACTCCCTCTTGGGCTCCGATTCGTCTCTGGTGCTATACTACCTCGTGGGCTTCGGTTTGGGTCAGGAGCTATACTCCCTCTAGGGCTGCGGTTGGCATCAGGAACTACACAAATGCTACCTCGAGGGCTGCGGCCCGGATCAGGGGCGATGCTGCCCCTTGGACTCCTGTTAGGGCTTACATCTGGCACGAGACTATTCCTGTGACTCCTCGAAGGACTGACATCAGGCACTAAACTGTTGCGGGCACTTCGGTTATATTCCGGTACAAGGCTGTTCCTAGGACTTCGGTTAAAATCTTCTGGAACTAGAGAGGTCCTCGATCTGCTGAATAGTTCGGCATCTGGGCAAAGACTACCTCTTGGAGATCTAGAGAATCCTTGAGGCTCCTGTAGGAGGTTGGCTCTCGAACCTCTGGTGTCTGGGATGATACTGTTTCGCGGGCTGCGGTTGAACTCTGGTACCAGACTTCCCCTCGGACTCCTGTTAAATATTTCCGGGGTAAGGCTCCTGCGGGGTGTCCTATCAACATCGGGCACAAGACTGTTCCGAGGGCTCCGGTCGTACTCCTCAATCTCCTGGTCTGAGTCGTCATCAGCTGCTGTGATCGTGACGAATTCGGTTGGCGAAGTATCCTCAGGCACAGCGATGGATGCCCGCCTCTGCCTCTGCTCTCCTGCGGAAGTCGGGATCGTGCTTGGCCTTCTATTGTTGTTCCGGTGCGGTGATGTGGCGGCGCTCCTGGAGGCTCGACGCCTCCGTGATGAGGCCGTCCTGTGGATCATGCCCACCTCACGACTTCACTTTCCACCTGCAACAAGCAAATAAAGAAAAAAAATAATCGATTGTTTGGAACGATAATTTTTTATACAGTTTGAATTTATAATGAATGATACATATAAAACATCTACATGACTATCTAAAAATACGATAGAAAAAACTTAAAATTTTTCTTTGTTTATAACTAAATATATTAAATTTTATTGTTATGAGGTAGTTCATACTAGATAACTGCTTCCTATAAATAAGAGAGTGGACTTCAAGCACATTCGTCTGATATTCAAAATATATTTTTTGGTATTGAATGACTGAATCTTTGGAACAGTTAGTCCATGGTAGGTATTGGTAGGGGGACTAAGTCTAGCGATTGGGTCTATTGGTCCTTTTTGCCAACTCCAAAGACAATAATACCAATTGTAGTCTATTATACCTCCAACTCTATCTCAAATCTTTTTATTCTTCTCATGAAGTTCAAAAGGCTGGACAAAGATAGGACAAATGTTTGAGACATGAATAATTTATAGCTTAAAAAAAAATTAGTATCTAAACCTAATAATTGTAAACGAAATCAATAACTGTTTCTCATAATTGCTTGTTTATGGTATCTGCATTATGCCTTAAGGAATCCCAAAATATCGTTTTATTTTATAGGGCTAAGCGGATCATCGTAAGATCACAAATGTTCAGTAAGAGGACGACTCGATAGACGCAATGTAAATATTTCATATAAGGTACGATTAATCACAAACCATCAAAAGCAAGAATGTCTAATTCAGTTGTTTTTTAGGCTAAGGTTTATTTTATTTATTTATTTTTTTCTTTGTGTCCACTTCATTTTCTGTCTGTTTTTCAAGAGAAATCAACGGAAATTTGGGTAAGCTTTTAGACGTTGGTTTAATTTACTGTTTGTACTACTTGTGAAATGTTGAATTTGATACTTTCCGGTACGTTTCAAATACATTTTCTTCATCCATCTGATCTGACATTTTTCATTTTCTTTTGTTTCCATTGAGATGGTTTATTATAATAGATTAGAGCAAATTAACACTCCCATGGTCCACAATGTTCTTCTGAAAATACAGAAATGTTTAAACAGCTTGTTTCTGGTGTTTTTTTGTTGTTTTTTTTTGCGTTTTTGGTATTTTTAAAATATGTAAATGCGGCTCAAGAATTTTTTTTTTAAGATATAGAACAACTAAAATTAGAGGGTTTACATTTTATTTGAGCTGCCTAAACTGAGCAATTACTTGCTGTAACCTAATTCCAAGGTTATTATATATTATAAAATTTGGTATTAATAAATTCGAAGGATTACTATAAGGCAATATAATAGAAAGCATGACTTTTCAAAGAGGATTTTTCAAAGCTATACATGTTGTTTGTTACTAGAAGCCCTAGAGTTGATTCGAAATGGAATTGCAAAGGACCTAAGGTATCCGTTCTGATTTGTAGCTGGGGAAGGAATATTCCCAGGGGAGCTCTATGTTTTACCCCATAGGGATTCAGATGAAATCTATATTTGCTTTTCTCTTCTTTTCCCTCCTTTTTGCCTATTTTTTCATTACATTCCCTTTTTATCTCTTTAGCTCAGATAAGGATGAATAACTTTTTTTTTTTCTTGAAGCATTCCCTACTTGCTTAGGAATAAGACCATAGATAAATCTTGAGGTTTGTAGAATATTTTATGAAAGCAAAATTATTTATATTAAGTTTTAAATACGTTCACGAACGTGATCGTTCAGGGAGCCAATTATATATAACTTTGAGCTATTAAAGCTTGCTTCATACTTATTAAATTATTTAATAAATAAAATGGACATGGTGTCATTTATTTATAAATGGTAATAAAGATACCTTAGATTCTATTTGTTGCTTGCCAAAGATTCGAAATGTCACTTAATTAAAGATTACCTCAATTATATTTTTTTTTCTCTTCTTAAATTATTACTTATATGCAAAAGAAATAGGTATCTATCAGGAAAATACCATAATTATGTTTTATATTAAAAACTTTTATTGAGTATTAATACAGTCTGCCACACTGAAGTGCATTGGTACTAGTGCTATAGTATTCATTCACACAATACGTTTTATATTAAAATTACTTTTACAAATATCTAATATTAAAAGATATTTTTTTTTCTAATCGTTATTTATTTGGGTAGGATGAAAAATAAAATAAACTAAGGTAACAGGTAAGTTCCCCTCCCCATCTCAAGAGTGATGGCTCATGTTTTATCCTCAACAAAATTTATTGCTGTGTTGTTCTTGAAAACGTTGCCTGAGGAACCACTAAATTAACTACAAAAATTGTAATTTATATCTGTACCTCGGAGGCAAAGAACATCATGTCACATTTTTGTATTTGTTCAGTGGAACCAACTTTTTGTTACTTTGAGCTATTAAAATTTATTACTAAATTATTGAATAAAAAAGTGTATAGTGTCCTTTAACTTCGAGGCATGATGTGGCACATATGTGGTGTCATTGTGTCAATGTCATTTCTGCGTAATCCGTGTAGCCGAAAGGCAAGGAAGGGATAAATAAATAATACTACAAATATTTTTACACCACTATTTTTATACAATTACACTTGTAGTCTGTTATATTAGGTTGGCAAATAAGTCCTTTCGGTTTTTCAGGATGAAACAAAACTCAATGTATTGTAGACATAAAATTTATTTTAATCTACAATATATTGACTATTATTTAATATGACTTTTTCCTATCTTTCCACTAACTGTATAATGCCATGTTCATAGAATGTATAGAGTTAATTGTTAAAAAAATGATCCAAGAGGTTCTTGATGTCCACTTTCTTTTTGAATTTCATTTCATTCATGGAATTCTGCAGGGACCGGAATAAGTGGTAGTCATTTGGAAATAGGTCTGGTGAATAGGGAGGGTGGGGCAATAGGTCCCATTCAAGGCTCAATAATTTGTTGCGAGTGACCAATGAGGTGTGGAGCCTAGCGTTGTCTAGGTGGAACACAACACCCTTCCGATCATTCATAACTCTTCAGAATGTTCTCCAAATTCGATGATACTATGTCCGTTGGAAAGCTGTTTTATTGATGTTCAAAGCCGTATGAATGTTTTTTTGATTTAATTGAATTTTTTGTAATTTAATTGTCCTTCTAAATTTTTTTAAAAGTCGTATTGAAGTCATAACATTTTTTAGGGATTTTCGAAAAAAAAAATCATGTGAGGAACCCAAACATTAAGCCTGGAAACATAGTCGAGGTTGTGCAAATGTTTTTTTACGCTTGTTTTCGACACATTTAGGGCCATAACTCTCGTACAGATTGGGCGGGATTTTGTTCAATAATGGCCTTGACATTGCTCCTTTCAATTCCATGAGGGCGACCGTTGAGCATCATTGATGTCAAAATTTCCTGAATGAAATTTGGCAAAGCAATTTAGATAGATGCGTTCGGTTAAGGCATCATCCCAATAAACACTGCAAATGAACTGCAGTACGCTTACTTATTTAAAAATAATACAACAAAATATGCCGATAATGAATGATATTTTCTACCATATTCACAGTGCAATAGCAAATACAAAAACACAATACTAAGCTAGTTTCAACAAGACTTAACAAATATAGCTGTTGATATATTGCAAACAGGATAAACAATCCATCTGAGTGATTAATTAATCAGATGATAAGATGTGTATCATAGGGAAATGAAAATGAACAGAAAAACCGAAAGGGCATATTTGCCAAACCCATATATTTTCCTTGTTGTAAATTTTACTAAATTGAAACACCACAAAAATACTTATGGTTTCAGACAAAAATTCATAGCCACCTAAAAATGTTCAACTCTCAGAAAATTGTACTACTTTCTAATGGGCAGTTCTAGTTGATTAGTTTTAATGGAAGAAAATAAGAAATAATAATAAGGCTTAGCGAACCCGAAGGTTCGATGCCGACACCACCAATCGCTTGTTACACACCTCCCTCCACCGTTCGCCGTCCAAACCCAGTCCCTTCAGATCGGCTTTAATGCAATCTTCCCACCTTCGCTTCGGTCTACCCCTCGGACGCTTACCATTCGGCACAGCAAATATTAACCTTTTAGGAATTCTCTCGTTACTAAGCCCAACAACTTTACAAGCCCATTTGATTCGCCGCGATGAAATTACCTCAATTATATTACCCGGATACAGCTCACGCAATTCGGCGTTGTGTAACCGTCTGAACTCTCCGGTTAACTCATCCTTCTTCGGTCCGAATATTCTACGCAATACTTTATTTTCAAAAACCTTAAGACGCTGCTCATCCCTTAATGTAAGCGGCCAAGTTTCGCATCCATAAAGAACTGTAGGCAAGATAATTGTTTTATAGATTCTAATTTTTAAGTTTCGGGACAAGAGGCGCGAACTAAGTAGTTTTGTCACAGAAAAATAACAAGCATTCCCCGCCTTCAGTCTAACCTTAATCTCTTCTTCAATTTCGTTTTTTCTAGTTATCGTAGAACCTAGATACCTAAATTTATCTACCTGTTCAAACATATTACCATCTATATCGATATCACCAGTAGTATCGCCATTTTTGCAGCTAACCATATATTTTGTTTTATCCACGTTTATTTCGAGTCCTAGTTCTTTACCGGCTTTCATTAACGTTGTCGTATTTAGTTTTATAGTTTCAACGTCTTCGCTTAACAGTACCAGATCATCAGCATAGCCCAGCACGGATGTTGTCCCGCCCAGATCCAACCCTTTCTCGGTTCGCATTACCTCCCTAATGGCATGTTCTAATGCCAAATTGAACAGGACAGGCGAAAGAGAATCCCCCTGTTTTAAGCCCGAACGAACCTCAAATTTTTCGGACAAATTATTACCGATTCTAACTTTATTGAGTGTCTCCGTCAAGCACATCCTGACTAGATTTACTAGTTTTTTTGGAATCCCCTGCTCGATTAGAATATTATACAGTTTCTGGCGGTCAATAGAATCGTAAGCCTTTTTAAAATCTATATACAGCTGGTGAACA